TTTTTTTTTTTTTTTCCAGTTTAGGAGGAACATGGGCAGTCTTGTTGGTTGAGGAGAAGGAGCCAGAAAAGAGAGAACTTAGCCTGGCTGGGATGTCTACAGAGATAGCAGGGGATAGGATCAGGAGTGAAGGGGAAGCTGTAGATAAGGAGGCACAAATTCTCTTAGTCTGAATGCAAGAGCCAAGGGTGTTTACAGATACAGACATTGGGAAGCAGGAGGTTGAGGACTTTATATTCTATGGTCTCTATTTTCTTGGTGGAACAGGTAGTAAGGACTTTAGCTGAGAGTGAGGCAGGTAGGGACATGAGAGCATACTTTTTTATGATCACTGTGGAAAATGAGAAAGAGGGAAAAGAAAAGGATTGTTGAGCAGTGACTTAGCCCAAAATGCTCCCAAAAATGTCTTCTAAGACTTTAGTCATATTATAATTTTCCAAGAGAGAGTTGAAAGAGCTGGAAGTGGGTAGTAGCTACTTCACCTTCTCCAACACAGCCAGCAAAAACCCAGCCTAAGATACCATAGGAAACCACAAGAAACAAAGGCACAACCCACCAGCTCATCATGGCATTATTGCCCAACAGATGGGAATGGCATGGTGACACAGTATTCACACCGTATTCAGATGACCTGTGACATAACAATCAAACTGAAGGGTCCCTGGCACGAGAGACACAGATGACAACTGCTAAGGAGATTTACATTGGAGTTGGTATATTTGCTGCAGTGCTACTCAGTATTTTGGTTGTCATGATTGTCAAAAGGTATTTATACATGAGAAATAAGCTGCAGCAACAAAGAGTCGTTCCATTTAATGTCACTAAAATCGGAGCTTTACGAAGTGCAGTTGAAGAGCATGTCCGAGCAGAAGACAATGTCTATATTATTGAAGCAAATCTTTACATCGTGGATTAAGACCCACTGGACCTCCAGGGCTTTCTCAGGACTGCAGAAGATACTGAGCAGCTATCCCTGTGTCAGACTTCTAAGCTTCAGGGCCATTTTTCTGTGTCAATTTCACCTGGCATCAGCATGTCAGTGACTGGGTAGCATGACTCTTTAGCTCAAATCTGTGTATGGTCAACCTCATTGATCATGTAGTCCTACTTTTTTTTTTTTAAAAAAAAAAAAACCTTAAAACTAGCTCAAATGTTCTGGTCATGGCACAGCTCTTTCTAAAACACAAAAGTTTTAGAATCCTATATTCCCTTTAAAAAGCCCATTGCTGTGGAGTTGATTTCCACTCATAGTGACCCTATAGGACAGGGTAAAACTGCCATATAGAGTTTCCAAGGTTATAATCTTTACAGAAGCAGACTGCCATACCTTTCTCCCATGGAGTGACTGGTGGGTTTGAACCGCTGACCATAGTTCACAGCAGAGCAGTTAAGCACTGATCCACCAGGGCTCCTCCATATTCTTTTTAGACTCCATGAATTCTGTATCCATCAAAGAGAAGACTCACTGGGGAAACAGGAAATGAACTTCTTTCTGGATCACCAAAGGTGTCCAGGAGAGAGGAACAGGATTTAAAATTAACCCAGGTAAGGGTGGTAGGAGAGGTTTCCAACAGGGAGACAAATTTGTCTGTCAGTTTGTCCTACCGTGGTGACATGTTGATGTGAGTTTTGAGGCTGAGCCACAAACCCAGTGGGATGCACATGGTGCACAGGTATCAGCCCAGCTTACAGACTGAGACAGACTAGGAAGAAGGAAGAGGCCGTCCACTTCTCAAAGAATTGGCCAGGGAAAACCTTATGAATAGCAAAGAAACACTGTCT